CCCAGGGAGAAGTTGTCTGGGTATGAGCACACTAACTTGGCCAGCAGCAGTGGGTCCGCCCAGGCCGTTGACACTTTAGCCCATCTCTCCCTAGTCCCTTCCCATCCCTCATCACCTCTCTTTCCTCAAAGCTGTTCAGCTAAACTGCTGCTGTCCCTGCTTTGTTTACCCAGTTCTACCTGCACTGCATAGGAGCAAAAGTGCTCTCCCCCTGATGTCACCACCACCTTTGAGAAAAAAGCTGACCTGCAAGCTATTTTTAGCCACACTGTAAAGTTGTGAAGCTATTTTAGTCACATCTCTGTATGAAAGCTGCAGGACACTGACAGGCTCAATGATTGCCTAGGGCAACAGGGGCTTTAACTGGGAACAGGCACAGCTTGCAACTTTGCATTAAAGCTTCTGTGCCCTTCCCATGCCATAGGACTCTTTAGACTAAGACTTGATTTCCCTTCCTTTTAGGAAAGAGTAACACACCTTCCTGAATTCTGCTGGATACCAGAGGCTCTGTGAGGCCTTTGCAGTGATGGCCTCCCCCTTGCACAATCTCCAGTTCTGCAGAAGGTACTATTTATTCTGTGGGATCCCTCAGTCCCATTTGTTTCATTCCCTAGGAGGAGGTAGGTGCAATTATGAGATCACCGGACAAGATTTTATCAATCTTCCTTTGAATTAGACCTCTGTAAAAGATCAATAAACATTAGGCTAGTGCCTGCTGAGGAGTGGGGTGCACATAACTCTGTGGAGGTAAGAGGAAGAACAAAAAGGAATCATTTGCATAGCAACATGTTGTTCTGAATACAGAGTAATGCCTGGGAACTCTGGGGTATGTCCAGGGCATCAGGCAGAAGTTGCCTGGTCTAGACAGTTGTTTTCTCTGGAGTGCCCAAGGGTTGGCTGCCAAATTTGCTGGGGCTCTGTAGCAAGTGCAAAGCACAGGCAAAGTAAAAGTCAAAGGAACTGGATTTAACAGAAGTAAGCCCAGAGATACTAAAGGAATCTTGAAGGATATGAGATACAAGTTAAATGAGAGGAGAGGAAAAAAAAACCAAAACCCAAACTGAAACCGGTGTGTTTAGGACAGGGACAAATGACACAGATCTATAAAGAAGGAACAAGAGAGTAACTATACAAAAGTTTATGAACAGCTGTCATCCAACCCTCCCTAGAAAATCTGCCTTAGGACTACTGCTGTCTGCAGCTACAGTGCATGTTTTCCCAAGAAACTTCAGCAGTGTTAACAATTCTGCACCTTCCCCATTTGGAAAAAGCCCCTGATGCAGCCAGAAGAATCAGAAGTTCATGAAGTTAGATTTCAAAGTCTCTCTCCTGTATTTTTTCTCTCCCAACCTTCTTCCAAAGGTGGTTTGTTAACAGTTCTTACAGTAAAACCTACATCCTGCTTCTAAGGTGAGCCACTCCTTACTTCACTGATGCAACTTGCACCTGCTTTCATGAGTCAGCACAAGCCACATACCTCCTCTATAGCCAGATCAGTGGCTGTAACAGAATGAACCATCCCAGGCAAACTCTGGTGACCTGTTGCAAACAGATTTGATATGCAGACCATCACTGTATTTCACTGGTTATTTCAGCAGAAGGAGCTGGTTTAACTCATTTGGTCCCACACAAGCACTGATCTGTGTTATACACTTTGCAATCTTCATGCCAGGAAAAGCAGCTGACCATTAACTAATATCTTATGACATGTAAATTAAAACTAGCTTAATAAGAATTTAACTTTTTAGTCAATAGGTGGAAATGGCATGGACAGAATAGTATTGTTTAATATGTTGTTATTTTAGCAGGACAGAATGGAACTGTCACAGTTCAGATCAGACACAGAGATGTGTCCAGCAGCAATATGTCAAGACCTGTTGGATCAAAAAGCTCAGTGAAGTGTTTTGTGTTTCAGCTTCCCCCAGGGCTATGCACAAGACTAGCAGCAAGCATTACACAGTGAAAACGTTTAGGTCAGATGAAATAACAGCAACGTGTTGCATTATTTCCCTAATGAGCTTAAGCAGCCTTTCTTTGGGACACTGCACAGGCAGGATAGCAAACACAGCACAAGAGTGTCTGACAGAACAGATAATTTGTCAGCTCCTGCATGGTGGAGCCATGCTCCTGGTAGCAGAACTTCACCAGTGTAGGGAGTAACTACTTCACCTTTCATAATCTCTACAGATTCTTCGTTTTCATCCATTATCACACAATCTTACTGTGGAGCATTACTGGCATCCTCACTTGTCTCAACTGATTATTTAATGGAGACATCCTATCACCATCTCCACAATGCTGATATTTTTCTAGTAAATATCAAGAAATTTAATTTTTTTTTTTCAAAATATTCCTACACCTGTTCTATTTTCCGGTGTGGAAACACCAAGCATACAGTAACAAATCACAAGCAGCTCACCCCATAGACGTAGACAGGGATTGTCCACCAATTGTGTGGATCCTGGCAAGCGCACACACCACGCTGGAGCTGACGACTGCAGTTGTTCCCAATCTCCTCTAGGGAGTGCAGTCGGAAAGGAAGAGATGGAACTGCAGTGCACATGCCAGCTGGGAATCAGTGACTCAGGATATTCAGTCACAAATTGTGTCTGCCCATTTCCAGCTGAAGGCAGGGAGGAGCTTGACCTAAAAGCAGAATTCTACCAGAACCCCAGGTATGCTTTACTGTGTGACAAAAAGTTCTGCCAAGATACTAAAAACCAAGATGTAAATCAAGCAATTGGACTTCAAATACTAGATGAATCATTTAAGCCAATATCCCCACAGCTGAATGCAGCATGGACAACACTTTTATGGGGCTTCCATCTCCTATGCCCAAGTACCTCACTATGTACATCCATCAGATCATTGAGCAAAGGTATGCTTAGTCTCCAAACATCATCCAGGCCTTGGTCTCTGCACAAGGAACATCAGAGACATTTTTTAGAACTCGATGTATTTTATGTGCACATGCACAGTTCTCAGTACTAGAAACTGGGCAGACCCATCAACTTATTCCCCCAAGGATTCACAAAACAGCTAAGGAGATATAGCACCTGTCTGATCTCTGTGGTAAAAAATAATGGATAAAAAGGCCTAAGGTTGCCTATTTTTTTCCTTACAAATGATATGCATGCATTGATTCTGTGACCTGCTACACCTTCCTTAAAGAATGACCAGAATGTAAAATATATCTACTCAGAACAGGATTTTTTCCCTCTTCTCCTATCTCAAAATAATAACGATCTATGTTCCCAGACTCAAGATAAAAAAACTCTTAAGAAACACAGAAGTCATACTTCCATCTACCTAAGGCAAAGTGTAAGAGAAAAAACTCACCAGGCAAGAGTCTGGATGGGTAAAGCAGATCTGCAGGAGGGACATACCGACATTTAGACAGATGCCAGAGTTGATCCCAAGTACAGCAGCAGGTGCAGTGAGTTCTGTGAAGTTACTGACACTCTGTGACAAAGCAGGTCTGTGGAACCACTGAGGAGCTGCAGCTTTGAGAAACTAAGGGACAGTAACTGTTGCTGCTTACGGACAAAGCTTCCTGGCTGGCACAGACAACTTTGCCACTTCCAGAAATTACCTACAGCAAAACAGGAGCAGACATTCACATGTCCCAAGGACAGCAACCAGACCAACAGCTAGGGATTTCACTTTCAGTTCCAGTAGCAGCAGATATCTGTGTACCAGAAGCCTCATTACTGACATAGGAAAAAAAAAAAAAAAGAACAAAAGCATATAGAAGCTGTCATACATAAAAAGGAACCATCAGCTCTTTCTTGTCCTTGCAAATAGCAGAGCATCTCCTCCTTGACATGTCCCATTCACTCTTAAATTTTCCCACCAGTATTGATTTCTGTTGCTGTCTTGAATAATACAGGTGGTTTTTTAAATAAAAGCAGGGAAAGGCAGGCTTAGCACCAAGAGATCTCAGAAATCTGTAAGAATATTCCTGGTAAGGGCATAATTGATTTCCAGGGAGATGTTTATGATGTATGCATTATCACAATCTCGGAACTTCATTCCCCACCTATTTAGGATTCCCACACTGGATTACAACCTGCCTTCACATAAGAGATGTTGAAGCTTTCAATGAGGTCACGCCAGACTCTGACAAGCACTGATGGGTGAGTCATGCTGCAGTAGCCAGAGATACAAGCAATACATTTGTTAATCTGTATGCAGTCTAACTCTTTTTTTGGTCTAGAATCTTATTCAAGGGTGAAATACAATGTCTCAGAGATAGGTGACTGCAGAATTGCTGAAGAGCAAGGCCACAGTTTTACTGTGGTTTATGGATTATAAGAATCGGTGCCTGGAAGCAAGTTCACAACAATGTAAAATTTGTTTTACCTATAAAATCTATAAAACAGGAGACCAAGATCCAGATAGGGCCAACAGCAGAGCTGTTCATTGCAGATCACTGGAAAAGCCACCATCCTAATATGGAATCTAGGAGTTCTCAGAAGAGTTCCACCAACTTTTGTCCAGCAGTTCCAGTCATACTCTCCAGCCAACTCTCTTCCAGAGGCTACTTCCCTGCACCATGGTCAGCTGGTGTAAATACACATCCCTACACCAGCCAGTCCAGGACAAAGGCCAGGGTAGTCACAGCACTGTCACACTGTGGTCTGAGCTGAGATAGGCAGCACTAACCCAGCAGGGTCAGACACAGAACGCTCTCTTCTGCTGACTCAGCTGTGAGGGAAAACCTGTGGAGAACCATTAGATCAGACAACAGCAACTTCTTGAACCACCATGTCAAAATTCTCCATGGAAGCTTTGTAAATGTGGCAAAAAGGACACAGAAAACCATGGAACAAGTGAGATATGGGGAATGAGTGCATGACAGCAGAAAAAAAGTTTCTTCATCTTGGCTTAACTACTGGACAGCCAGGAAAAAGAACCAGTAATAAAGGGAAGAGATAAAGTGAATCTAAAAGAAATCCTGCAGATGGAGAACAAAGAAATTAAATGTTGTTGTATTTTCATTGCTATGAAGCTAAATTAAGCTTCCTAAGGCAAGCAGAGAAATAATTGGTTTAGATTTCTATTCAGAAGACAGCATGAGCAGCAAGTGCCAGTGGAACAACTAACAAAAGGTGTCTTCCTTCAGAGAAAGCAAGCCAGAAGATTGCATAACTGAAATGTGTTTCCTCCCAGTTTCACATTATTAGTCACCTTTCTCCCTTCTCTGCCAAAGGCCTCTTCTTGCCCATCCAGCCAAGGACCAGAGCCAAGGCCTTTCCTGCACTGCTTCTTTCCATCAGTCACTCTTCAAGATCAAGGACTCTATAATACTTGTCCTTGTAGCCATTGCAGGTATTCTGAACCAATGCCAGAGTAAAACCCCCTTCAGTCCTGCTGTTGGGAAAAAATTGGAGATACCTGAAAAGACTGTCCTTGTACTCAGCTGTCATGGCCTAAAAAAAAACAGTTCTGAAATTCTGAAAAGATTTCAAAGGAAATTTATTGCAAAGACCCATTGAAGAGCCCTCACTAGGAGAAGACATGCTACCTAGAGTCCCTTGGAAACCTGTTTGACTCAGGTGGAAATGACCTACTGGCATTTATTTGTAATTGCCCAGCATGGCAGTGGTTGAGGAAGGAAAAGCTGTTGAGTCACACTGCAAGCCACTTTTCCACTTTTGTCTGGTTTCCCAGGGGGTAGAGTCAGTCAATCTCAGTCTCAGGAGGCTGTCACCGAGTCTCTGTCACTCAGGAGTCTCAGTCTCTGCCACTCATTCCCCATATGACCTTGGCAAGTACTTCTTCTTGTACCACCATTTCCCCACTTCTTAATAGCTTAAACCACTCAACTCATGGAACAATCATAAGTGCATAGCAAGGAGCAGCTAATAAAAGGTAAGAGAAGAGTGAAGTATTATAATTGTTGTCATAGAATACAAAAGCGGTTACGTAATAATGTCAGCATTGCTTCATTTTTGTCCTTACAACACGAGTTGTCAGAGGGACACTGTCTGACATGGTATCTCATCCTAGTGAATGTACCCAAGCATTTACATCACTGATACAAAACCAGATTGTTGTAATCTGGAAGACTCTACCTCGTTTATTTTGACCAGTGTTTCTCTAGAACATGTTTTTCCTGTATAGCCTCATAACCCATAATAATGGCCCAAACTGCACTATAGGAATGATGGCAGCTTTCATGTGCTAGTAAAATCAAAACAATTCCTCACTTGTGCATTGCACAATTAGTCACTCACTAAAACACACAAGTGCTTATCTTCTCTGGAAGCAGAAAACAAGCTGAAAGTTAGTTTCTAAGTTAGTACATCATATATACAAAGAACACTTTCTAAAAATCTCAATGGCATGAAAGAATTAAATTGGCTAAATTACATTCTGCTTGTATGACAAGTTTCCTAAGAAAAAGCACTGATAACTCCTGTTCACAGCTGCTACATAACTATTAACCAAATTTCTCTGCTTCAGGTTTTACGATTGCTTCTAAAATTTACCATTGTTTGCTTAAAAATGGCCAGATTCAAGCAGCATTTGCACTAAAGGCTGAGGAAAGCATGGCTGTAATTACAGCACCTGAAACTGTGCCCTAATCACACTCTTATCTTTCTTATCTACTGCAAGTATTTATAAAGCAATGATTACTGTACTAGGCCCCATCACTGCACTGAGTTAGTTCTGAACCAGCACCTTCATACTGCTGTAAGAAGTTTACACTGCTTGAACTGGTGTCATTCTGCTGAGACATAAAGCCAAGCTTTTCATCACTTAAAGTCATAAAAAAAATAAACTACGACACCTCTACAGGAGCAGGGGTGTTAACCCCAATGTCCTGGCCAAACTCCCTGCTCGAGTAATTACAACGTGCCTTGAATAAATTCTTGCCACAGTTTCCGTTGGACTTAGCATTGTTCTCTACTTCCTCTCCTACAATATCATGGAGAGCTGGTGCATGCTCTTAAAGGTCCTGTCCATGTTGGAATGTTGTATGGGTCTACTCCAGGGCCAGCTCTGCAGCAGCACATTGGGAGCAATGTGTTGAAACCAGTTCTGCCTGTCAGCTGAACCGCTAGGCAATTTGTAATATTTATTTATTGATGTTCTGGCACCTCCTTCAGACAGAATTAACTTTGGGTATAGCTATCTGACAGATAGACTGGTGCAAATCCCAGATGCAGACATAATAAACCTGTTTAGTTCTTTTCTTAAGTGGACTAAATTTGCAAATTAGCAAATGAAGCTGAACTAACTTTCTAGATGCTTACTACGGTCTTTTGAGAAGGCAGCAAGAACACGCCTAATGCAATGGACTAGGAAAGCTAAATGTGCTGTTTAGTTTAGCTGGCGACAATAAACATAATTTTCATAGTGGCTGTTCCTTCAGAATTTCAGTGAACTTTTTCCAAATAGTCTGTTCACAGACTATACTGTATATTTTTGAAGCAGTCACTGAATACATATCAAATGCAGATCTAGCATTTAAAGTAAAATACTTGATAGTTAAGGGCAAAGCATTATTCACATTTTCCTACAGCCACTGTTAAGAGACTCTAAGGATTTTTACCTAGACCTCTCATTATCTTTCATGTGTGTAACACTAAGAGCTGAGGCCCAGACTCTCTGCTGGCATTTGCTGGGTTAGCTCCATGGACCTCACTAGCTCTCATAATTCATGAGCTTTACAGGCAATTTGTCTGCAGGAAGAAGTACAAGATCAAGATTCAGAAGAACCTGATTCTTAATTCCACCTTTTGACCTCGTGGGCGGATCACTCTTTCTTACTGCTCCATTTTGTTCTCCCATCTCCAAAAGAAAATGACACCCACTAATTTGACAAAACAAGTACAAAACCAGTGCTGAGCAGATTCACATTAAAGACCATGCTTCCAACATTTGAAAACACAAATGTTTACCTTTCAAACATGCCCTTAATTTCCCCAGAAGCATGCCTCCCGTATTATTTCAGAAGACAGAAACTGTAGTTTCAGAAAGTGGATGGTTTTATTTTTGTGTCATTACAAAAATGCCTTTTAACTTGTCAAATGATACACTACAAATATCTTTGGCAGATGAATGAAACCAAGTTTCCTGTCAAAGCTGCCAACTTCAAGGTTGAGATCATCAGATAAACCTTTAGTTTGCCTCTCCCAATACCCACAACAACATATGTTTGAAGTGATCCACATTTGTCTCACTTTTCCTATAGGGATTTGAAAAGGCAAAGTATCAGACAGCTTTGGGACAAATTCACAAAACTTCAGATGTGGTCCACAAATGGACGACAACGATCCTCAGGTGTCCCCCCATCCCAGATTAAACTCCCCAGTACCTCTGCCTGTCTAAAGGTAAGTGCAAAATTCACCTAAACTGTAACCAGGATCACCTCAACACCTGCTGGATACAAAAGCTTTCTGTTAGATTATGTAGAAAATAGGAAGGAAGTTTGTTTCATCCATTTTATTTCAGCAGTGGCAGTAATACTGGGTTCACAGAGTTGTATTATTTCATACTGGGGACATCTCAAAACTGAGTATTTGCAGGGTACTTTATAACAGAGCGCACTATGCCTGCAGTGTAATTCTGAAGTCAAAAGCGGAAGCCATCCCTACAAACACACCTTTGACAAACTTTGTGTCTTATGTAACTGTTTCTATTAATTTATTATCAGGATGTCAGTACAAATTGTTATTTTGATAATTCCTTGCCCCCAAACTTCTGAAATGGAAAGCAATGATAAACACAAGGGAGACTGACCTCAGTGATTTCCTCTGTTCAGACGGAGCACAATGCGCTCAAACACCATGACAAGGAGAAGTGAACTGTTTAGAATTCCTCCAGCTGTAATCTATAGTAAAAACAAATAAACAAATACGTGACTACAAGATGTGATAATTAATCCCTGCATGAAGCCAACTGTTATCTCTGCTTCATAGATGGAGATACCAAAGCACACAAAGGCTCAACAACCTACCAAGTTCAACACTCACCACCGAGAGCCAAGAGTACAGTTTAGGAGACCATGTGCTCAGCCCATGAGATTTTTTTTTCCCCTCTTCTGGCCACAACCCAGATACAGTTCGGCCAAGGGCAGGCTGAAATACACCCATTTGGTGAGGGCAGCTGCACTAGAGCAGTCACCTACCACCTCCTGGGACTGACACCGCCTGTAGATGAGCTGCCCCTGGCCAGAGAGGCAGCTCCACTTGGATCCATGTCCTCACCACAGACAGCTTACCCCAAACCTACTGTCCTCTTCCACATTGTCCCCAAAAAGTTCCCATCCGTGCCAGGCCTCTCCCCTACACCTCTTCTTCCCACACATGTCCAGGCCCCAAGTACTTCCTTGCTGACGTCTGCCCTACACCTTTCCTCAGTTTCCTCATTCTCCCTCAGGACTGTTGCCCCTCAAAATGCTGTCTGAGCTCAAATGGCCTCAGCAGCAGCCCCCCATCATCTTCTCCCTCAGGCCCCTCTCCCCACTCAGTGTCCCCACATGGGGCTTCCACAAATTATTTCCCAAACTTCCCTCAGCACCCCCACATGCCAGCTCTCTCCTGTTCTCCTATCCCTCAGCAACTCTTCTCTTATCCCCTAAAACTGCTCTTCACACAACCCCTCACAGCTGGTTACTCTCTCTGCACACCCCCAAGAGCCCCTCACACAACCCCTCACACCCGGCTCCCCCTCTTCACAAGAACCCACCAGACCAACGCCCTCTCCCCACAGAGACCCTCACACCAACACGCCCTCCTCGGAGATACCCTCACACCGGGATGCCCCCGCCCCTCACAGCCGGGACCCCTCGGACCGCCGCCCGCCCCTCACAGCCGGGACCCCTCGGCCCGCCGCCCGCCCCTCACAGCCGGGACCCCTCGGACCGCCGCCCGCCCCTCAGAGCCGGGACCCCTCGGACCGCCGCCCGCCCCTCACAGCCGGGACCCCTCGGACCGCCGCCCGCCCCTCCGCCGCTCCGCCCCCGCTCCCTCCGCCGCCCCCAGCCCCTCCCGCCGGCCGCGGAGCTGGGGGGGGAGGGAGGGAGAGGGCGGCAAAGTCTCGCGAGAGGGGCGGGCGGGGGCCGCTGGCTGCGGGCAGCGCGGAGCGGCGGCGGCGGCGGCGCAGCCGGAGCCCGGGCGGCGCTGAGGGGAAGTGGCGGCGGGGCGGCGGCAGCGATCGCGGCCCGGCACACGGACCCGCTCCGCCGCGGCGGCGGCACGGCCGGCGCCGCCCGCCCTCCCGCACGCCGCGCCTCCGCGGTGCGGCCTGGCCGCGGCTCGGCGAGCGGGGCCCAGGCGGCGGCGGTGGTAGCGGCGGTGGTGGCGGCGGCTGAGCGCTCCGCCGCGCCCGCCCTGCCATCTTAGGTGCCGTGCCCCGCCGCCTTTGTGCCCGCCGCGCCCGGGCACCCGCGGGGGCCGGGCCCGACGCCCCTCCGGGGGCGCCTCCCCCCGCGGGGCCGCCGCCCCTTGCCCCGCTCCTCCTCCTCCTTCTCCTCCTCCTCCTCCTCCTCCTCCTCCTCCGCGGGGGGCCGACCGGCGCTCCCAGCCCGGCTGCGGCGGAGGGTAAGGCAGGCAGCGCGGCGGGGGGCTCGGCCGGGGCGGCCCCGGGAGGGTGCGGGAGGAGGTGGGTGGTGGGGGCGGCCCGGTGGGGCCGGCGCCTCCCCCGCCGCGCTCTGCGGCAGTGCCGCAGGGTCGGGGCCGCCGCCGCCGAGCACCGGCGGGGGAGCGGGCGGCGAAATGGCGCTTCCCGCGGAGGGGCGGCCGCGGGCGGAGGGGTGTTCCCCGCTGTCAGGGGCCGCCGGAGGCCCAGGGCTGGGGCCGGGGCCGGCCCCGCGGCCAGGCGTGCCCAGCGCCGCGGCCCTTTTTGTCTGCGGCTCCCCCGGGGGCTCCGCCGGCCGAGCCCCGACCCCAGAGGGGATTTGGGGTCCCTCGGAGACCCGCGCGGATTTATGCCCTTTTATTTTTTTCATACCTTTTTTTTTTTTTTTTTTTTCCTCCTCCATGCCCCTCGCTCCTCCCCAAGCGGTGAGTTTTCAGTGTATATACCATTTTGTTCGGTGCTGGTGTGGGATTTGGCTGAAAGTGACCTATTTTAAAGACCTTTTATTGCTCTCCCCTCAGCAATGCATGTTGCGGCCGATTCCGTTACCCAAATAGCGTTTCCCAACCATTTTAATTTGTCAGATTAAAGCATCTCATGGAGGCTGGATTTCTGTAACCAGCGTGTGGGTATGTCGTTAGAAATACCTCTCACCCTGCTTTGCTGCAAGCATCTTTGGAGCATCAGAGTTGACCTTTGTCACTGTGAAAGCAGAAATAAATACCAAGGCGATACCTGGGAGATGCAGTTGTACCATTGTGTTGGGCGCGGTACAAGAAATGGGGTGGGGGGGAGAGAATCAGAGATTAAAATGGTTGTTGTCAAATGTAGATCTTTACATGCCTTCGGAAAAAAAATATGACAGATCGGTGACAGCCCTGAGGACTTCTAATATATTTTCTTAGAAAAACGTTTCGTGTTTATCGTGCTTGTCTCTGCTGCTTATCATGGTATGGAGTATTTCATTTGGTGGCATTTTAGTGGCTCTGTTGGTTAAATAGCAGTTGCATTAACTAGTTGAACAAATTGTGTCCTTCACCTTTGACTATTGCATTTTGAGAGCCGTTACAGCAGTGTGCTCATGCATGCCAAGGGTGGATTAATAAGATGTTACCTAAAGGTTTGGATGTTATTGATTCCTTACTATTAATGCTATTTATAGTGCGTTTGACATGGCTCTTGTTTTATGTATTTGGATAAAGGTTATCAGCTTGGAATGCTTCAGATGAAACGTTTCAAAAATACCACCCCAAATATATATATATATATATATATATATATATATATATATATTTGAACAATATAGTTCAGATCCTTAGTGTGTGAAAAACAGCTTTAGGAGATAGCATATAATATTGAAAACCGTGTAAAACAGATAAATTTTGACACTAGGGAAGGTTTGTTTTCATATTTCAGGATTACAGAATAACAGCTTCTGTTGTAATAAATCCAGGTTTTGGTGTGCTTTTCTTCAGCTTGTATTTTCCTTGCCTTTGTGCCTCCCCATAGTTAGTGTGCCGTAGTTTCTGCTGCTTAAGTCCAAGGGCAAACCTAATCAACGATTGGCTTGAGCCTTCATATTAGGTTCTCCACAACATTGGCCTAGTTCTGACTGGTATGTTTGCCATTTTTAGGACTCCTCTTCCTTTTATCCATAGGCTGAAATACATTGATAAACTTGAACCTCAGTTTGTCCTTTGAACTTGAGAGAATGTTTTTCTCCTCTGTTAACAATATCTCAGTGAAGAGAAGGTGGTTCTGATAGAATAGCCCATCTTTAAGTTTAATCCTGCTGAAATACAACTACCTGAAGTAAAAACTATTTGGATAGTTGGATATTACAGACTGAATTAAGTGTTGCCTGTACAGGCCCAGATGTTGGCACTAAAATTATGTACAGATAAGGTGGCTTGGGCCTCAAATTAGACTATTTGAAAAAGTTATCTATGTTCTGCTGTTAAATTCTGGTGTAAGCTAAACTAAAGAACTTTAAATGTTTACTTCCAGCAAAATAACATTTCCAGTTGTGCATTTTCATCTCTAGCTCTATTCACCAGTTTTTGTCTCCAGAATAACACGTTGTTAATGACTAGTAGGACAGTCTCAGGTTTTATGTGTGGTGAGATTCATTAGAAGAGAAGCAAATATCCCACTAATAATTACATCTTCAGATGTATCCTAGTAGTGGATTTCCTGTAATGAGGATGTTTTGTAGAGAACAATAGATATGGCAGCAATTTCAGAGATTTGTTTTAAAGATGTTGTAGGTAGCAGACTCTGCAGTAGTGAGTTCCACTTAGATACAACCCTTGCATACTCAACAGAACTTTAGGTGGTTTCCAGGTACTTGGTTTTCAGGTGTAATTTCCTTTCTAGCAAAGACAGTCTGGATATCTGGATATACTGTTGCTGTTGTGTCTCATGTCTGTCACTTCTGCAAGGATATACTTCTGATCTAACTTAGTAGGGAGTAAGGTCATTTGCAAAATATGCCTCATAGAAGTTTTTTTGACAGTACAGGTATTTTGTCAAGTGAGAAGATAATTAGGGTTGATCTGGCTTTCTTTGTGATACAGAAGTGGTGAGGAAGCTATGGTAAATACCACTTGTCTTATTCCATTCTCAGTGTGTTTTGGAGAACACTCCCATAATCACTAAGATCCTATCTTAGAAGCATTTTCTGTTGTGTTCCTGTTCATATTAAAATAATGTAAACAACATACTGTTAGGTTGAAATGCATACTAGAAATTATAGAAATCTTTGGTGTTACCAGGGCTGAGCCACGCTCTTGTCTTCTGAATGGCAGTGGTGCTGGGTGGCCATTACCTTTTTCCTGTTCAAGTATGCTTTGTGGTGTCAGAGATTTTACTTTTATTTCCTTTTGTGAACCTGGACAAAGGGAAGAGCTGAACTTCAACCCTGGACTGGAGTCATGTCTGAACTGGAAAGTTTCCTGGGTCTGACAGCAAGGTTTCAGTCCTGTCCTCTCCTGGTTAACCATGCTTGGGACAAGCTTGCCTGTAACAGCACAGAGTAGGATGATTTAATACTCTCTGAGACCCAGATCTCTCTTCTCTCCTATAATATTGAGTGTGTCCTACTCTTCTCCACAAAATGCTCATTCTGGATGGACTCAGTGCAGGAAGAAGCCCTGGTATGACAGCCTGGTGCTCTCTGGCAAGTTCCCATTTCGCTGGAAGTTGACTGAGGTGTGCAGTCTTGTCCTCCACCTGCTTCTCCATGTGTCATTCCATTGGCTGTGGTCGTTGATCCTGCACCAGCAGAAAGCTAACCTAAGGAAAAATACAGTTTTGTGTCAGCTTGGTGATCTGAAATGGCTCAGTGCACAGTGAGGTGAGGTCAGAGACACCCCCGGGGACTGGGCTGTACCACCACAGCCAGCAATGAGGTTTAAAGACAGAGGTGGCTGGTGGCACTTTTTGCTAAACTTGTAGTGGTTAGGTTTCAGGATTCTTTGTTTTTATTGTCCTTTAACATGCTGAAGCATTGGTGATTATACATTGATTTCTCTGTGGAGAAGAGACTGAAAAAAAATTCAATGGACAAAGGGTCAGAAAATCACTAATCCCTTCACGTGAAGTTCCAGAGGGAGAGTCCTTCCTGTTAAAATATTTAAAATATAAAAACATGAAATCAGAGGTGAAATGAAAGTGTCTGAGTGGAAGAAGTGTGCAGAAAATAGTAGGAAAAGATAGAGAGCTGTTTAAAAGCAGGGTTGGCTTTTACACACTATTCCTTCTTCTTTGCCTAAGTGCTCATTTACAGTACAGAACATGGAGGAGAGAATACTTTCAGAAGGCCCTTAGAAACACAATGGACATTAGCCAGCACAGTGGGGGCTCCAAACGTGGTTTTTAAAGCAATTTTAGAACAAATACTTGGTGGTCACTGGAATTACAGTATTTTTTTAATTGTGAAAGGGAAGCCATTAGGAACTTCTAACACTTGATCAGAAATCAGTGCATTATTACTCTTGATTTTTTTTCACATTCTGCTAAATCTTTGTTTCTTTGCCAGAAGAAAAGGCAAGGTAGCCACTGTATAAACAAAACATGAAATTGCCAGAGCAGCAGTAAGTTTTGTCTAAACAGAGGAGTTTCTCCAGTTTAATCAGAGCTTGCTGAGGACATATCTACAGCATTAGTTACACACCTATAGCTTGGAGGTGAGGTTTTCTTTCTCTTAGGGGTTGATGAGGACAGTCCAACATGAGTTAGAGTGATGATGACTTCTTAATACAATTAGACAGTAGCTTGTAGTTTTGCCTGCTGTATTGCTTGGCTGGAAAGAATTTTAATTTTTCTTTAGAGGTCAGGATGGGGTGACAGCATGAGATT